TATAATGTATGCTATACGAAGTTATTACGACTCATCCTAACCTGGTCGAGCGACGGTAACTTGGCGAAAAATTGCTGCCACTGATGGGCGTCAGACGGCGGAAGAGATGTGTCTCAGTCCAGGTGCCGTAGCCAAGCTGACTGAATGAGAATTTTCGCGCGGATCACCACGGGAGAGAGCCATCCCAGTGGATCGAAGAGCCTCGCTGTTTCCGCGAGGACTCGCCGTTTTGTAAATTTGCTGAGAGTGTGCGGGTGGATCGTGAACGCGAAACTGTCTTCGGGCTGGGTGCCATCGCAAGCCGAGGGTGGAGTGACTGTCGGTTTGCCATGAGTGCGGTGTTGTCTGAGCCCGGTGCTTCTGAGGGATCTCGTCCAGGATTGCCTCGCAGTTCGAAGCCCACTTTTTGTGCGGAAACCCGCCCGCCGTGCACAATTCACAGAGCTCCTTGCAGGTCGCGATCGCGTCGGCAACGTGTGAGCTCCCGTAACGACGTCGTCGACATAGCAGTCGCGGTGCAAGACCGCAGCGCCGCGGGGGTATCGTGATTGTTCGTCGTCTGCGAGTTGCCGAAGAGTTCGGATTGCGAGGAATGGTGCACACGCGAGGCCGTATGTCACGGTTGTGAGCCGATATTCGCACACGTCGTCGGCGACGTCGTGTCTCCAGAGTATTTGCTGGAAATCGCGATCGCTAGGGTGCACGATGATTTGCCGGTACATTTTCTCGATGTCCGCGATCATGGCGTAACGGTGCCATCACCAGCGCAGCACGACGTCGGAGAGCGCGGGCAGAAGATTCGTGTCAACGAAAAAATGTGCGTTCAGTGACTTACCGGACCTTGTGCGTTGTGACTCGTTGAAGACGACGCGGAGTTTTGTGGTGGCACTTGACTCGCAGAGCACCCCATGGTGCGGCAAGTAGCACGTGTGCTCCTCTCTTCCCAGTGGTGCATTCACGAGTTCCATGTGCTGCAAGTCGTGGTACTCGTGCATGAACGTGCGGTAGAGCTCACCGAACCGCAAATCTTGGGCGCACTTCCTCTCCATCGCTGCGAGGAGTCGCTCGGCTGGTCTGCGAGTTTCGCCGAGCGCTGTTGGAGCGGAGGAAAACGGCAGTCGCACCATGTATCGTTCTTCGGGGGTGCGCTCGTGAGTTTGTAAGAAGTCCTCGCAACGTTGTTCTTCAGGCGTGAATGTGGCGGCGGCGGAAGGTTCCTTCTCTTGCTCCCAGAAGCGCTGCAGCAGCTCGGCCAGGTCATGGTCGGCAGTGCATTGGAGCGAGCTACGCTGCGTGTTCAGGGATGTTGTTCCGCAACCTCCCGACAGGATCCACCTCAGCGTGGTCCGCTGTGCGATCGGAGCTTGAGGCCCGCCCTTTCGGAGGCCGTCTTCGAAGATGACCGAGCAAACTTCGGCTCCGAGAAGCAGCTCGATGGGATCACTGGTGTAGTACTGCGGGTCAGCTAGCGGGAGTCCTTGGACGTGTCGCCAGACACCCGGGCTCTCCCTGGTGGAGCCTCGGTATAGCGAGAGGCGTGGAAGCACGAAGGCCATGACGCTGAGCTTTGCTCCGGTTACCCTCGAGGTGAGCTCTAGAGTGACCCTTCCGCGGGTTGATCCCGATTGTGCACCTCCGACTCCGACGACCGATATCTTGCTGCGCGATCGCAGCAGCCGCAACCTTTGTGCCAGAGCTTCGGAGATGATGGACACTTCCGAACCTTGGTCAATCAGGACTCGAACTTCGTGGGTATCTCCGTGGCGATCGGCGACGAGCACTCGAGCGGTGGCGAGAAGGATGGCCTTGCCATCGTTTTTCTCCCTTGTCGCGGACAGTGCAGTGACCTTAGCGGGTTTGGGTGACGCGTGGGCGTCGTGTAGCATGGTGTGATGGCGTGCCTTACACGTGAAGCAGTTCTTCGTCGACTGGCATCGTGCGACTGGGTGGTTGCCGAGGCAGTTGTAGCACAATTTGTTTGCTTCAACAAAGGACTTCCGGTCACTCGCGGACTTTGCCTTGAACCCACTGCACTGCATGATAGAGTGGTGCTCCTTGCAAAGGGCACAGAGTGAAGAGCTGGACCCGTACTTCGTGAAGTGCGACTTCGCGGATCGTGAGGCATCGCCGGTGACCTTCGCGGCGCTCCTCGGCTTCGCGGCGTTCAGTGTGAGGATCCGCTTAGTGAGAAAGTTCAGCAGTGTGTCGTGCTCTGGAGGGTTGAGGAAGTCGCAGGTCGATGACTCCCACTCGAGTCGTGTGCGCGGATCGAACAGGTCGATGATCAGGTGATTGAACAGATCCATGCCGTGAGTTTCGATGGGCCTTCCGATGCTCTCCTGGGCATTCACGGCAGCGGTCACAGCGTGGTAGACGCGGCTGAGCTCTTCGGCGGTATCTGCCTTTATTTTTGCCACGGCGGTAAACGCGGCGAAATTGGAGTGTATCAGTTCTTTTTTATTCTCGTAATGCTTTTCTAAGAAAGCCCACGCGCGGGTGTAATTCTCACCGGTCACAGCTAACGGTCGAATTAACTTTTCAGCGGACCTCTGCAGGCACGATCGGAGGTAGTGGAACCACTCGACATTGAATATCGACGAGTTGTCTCCGATGACCGATAAGAAGAGGTCGCGGAAAGTCGACCAGTCTTCGTACGCCCCTGAAAACTGTGGCAGTTTGATGCAAGACAAAGCGGTTTTCGAGGCATGCTCGTTACTTCGCTCCCCGGTCGGAGCTGGCGTTATTGTGGCAACCTGGAATCACTTAAGGTACTCGGTGAGCGCGCTGCGTTGCTGCACATAAGTGTTCTCAGCGATCTCGAAGAAATTCGACGTAACGTACTCACTCTCATCGTACCTCTCCTTGTAGGCAGCGCGAATGAGATCGTGCTGCGTTTCGACATTGGCCCACATCTGATCTAACAGCTTAATGCGTGTTTCGATGGCGCTTGGTGTGATGTTACTTGCTCCCATCTTTTTCAGGTTGTCCACAGAACGGGACATGCGACCGTGAAGATCACGCTGACCGTTCAGCAGGGCGCTGAGTTCACTGCTCATTTTTGCTGTTCTGACGTCAGAGTGCACTCACGAACGCGCGGAGTTCAGCGGTGTATCCGGCTCGAAGGACCAAAAAATGTTTACAAGCGCGAGAGACGCTAATGCAAAGCGGAGGATCTGTGAGGAGTGCGATAGAGACACAACGAATTTGTAATAAATTTTAAACACTATTTATTTTTACACATACATATACACTGAATAAATGTCTAATTAGTGAATACAAGATTTTAACACTCGAAACCTCCTTTTTTTTAGAAGCGAAACACCCTATCGGATGGAGCGCGAGGATACAAGCGATTCGACTCAGTCGAAATTTGCGATACTTGCGGAAGCGAACGTTTAAAGAACGCGGAGCGGTGCTACTTTTACTGCGGTGCGAGAAAAGTGCGAAAAAAGCGTTAGCAGGGTTGAGGTTGGACCCTTTATACTTGGAAAAACGGGGCTTATTTTTGCGAGTAACCAATCGTTTTGAGTCATTCAAAAACGCTCAAGTTGACCCCCACAAATTGTAGTTTATTGGTTACTCGTTTATGGTTGTTA